ATGTTGCCATAATTACGAATTGCCTGAAAAATATATTTATCTTATAAGTTCCAGCGATAAATACGCAAGTCCTTCAGACTGTGAACTAGATAATATAATTACAAAATTAAACATTTAAAATTTATGTTTTGTTTAATTTTTTGCCTTTTTTTAAGCCAGTTTTTTCAAATTTTTAGCCTATTCTAGCTTATATTTTTGAGAAATTTGGCCTATTTTTTCGTTCGAAATCTGGCATCACTGGTGTGTGCGTGTTTCTTGTGTAAGCAGAAAGACGCGAAAAATGATTAAAATAGCTATTTCTCGAAGGGTTTAGGGGATCTCATAGTCGAGCAGTCTCGACTTATATATGCATTTCGGTTGTTGTTAAAATTTACACCCCACCCCAATGTCCACCCCCTCACCAACATATGTATTTGTAAAAGACGTATTTCAAATACTAGAGACCTGTACTTTGGCAAATATAAGCATGTCCATGTTATAATAATAATCTGAAAGATTCATGAAGAAAGTACATCCATAAGATAAGTTATTAAGCAATTAAATTTCCATAGTAAGCCCACACACACAATTTTCGGTAATCAAAACACAAACTTTGGTTGTCGTTCCTTTTGACATACCATTGGGTAGATACATATCATCAAAAGATCGCAATTCGTTACGCCGCTCAAATGTTGATACACTGCCGATTCTAAGTACTTCACTTCACTTATATTTTGTTTGCCATGCTTCCTGTGGGCGGACATATATCCGACAAAGCTTTTTGGTCTTGGGTGATCAGCCCGAGTATATATACAAAATTTGAGGTCTCTGGCATCAATAGTGTCTAAAATATAGCAGAATTAAAACATCACTATATCTTCAGGTCTGATTTGCCACGCCCCTAAAAAGCGTAGACATATAATCTTTAGACATTATAGAATCAACAAACATGATTTCTGGTATATYGGAAAATGCATTTTCCGATTTGCCACGCCACTAGTGGGCGGATCGAGATAATTTTAACACTTTATAAATCGGAGATATACACGAGTATGTGCTTCAAATTTTAAGTCTCTAGCTTCAATAGCGCCGAAATAGACTGCGTTCATACGGAGAGACGGACAGACGGACGGACATTGCACAAAACCAAAATACTTATTCACTTTCGTGAATGAGTATAAATACTAATTCGCTTTCGTGAATGAGAATAATAATTCACTTTCGTGAATGAATATACAAATTGAGATCTCTAGTTCAAACATACGGACAGACGGACGGACGGACGGACAGGCGCACAGGCGCACAGACAGACAGACGGACAGGGCCAAATCAACTCAACTCGTCGCCCTGATCAAGAATATATACTTTGTGGGGTCTGCCACGCCTCCTTTTGCCTGTTACATACATTTCAACAAACCCATTATACCCTGATTTCCCGTTGAAAATGGGTTCAGGGTATATAAAGTATACAAAATATTTAAATAACATAAAATTTTATATTATATGTACTATATCGAATTTATGTAAATATTTACTTTCAGTTATCGTACCATGGGCTACGACTTTGACTCAGCTATAAAAGAGCCCAAAAAAAGTATAGGAAAAGAATTACAAAACTATTCTTCTCGCAAAAATTCAAAATTGGACAACTATCAACAAATTTTTAAAAAGGAAACAGCAAGAGCGACCGGTAATCATTTGAAGGCGTCAGTAAAAGTGCTTTTAGCGGAACAAAAACATCAATCGTTTTTCCAAGTAGTGCATGACAACCAAGTCACGTTGGCAGGAAGCAAATCATTTTTTACAATCAATATTCGGACGCAGCCAAGCTCTTTGCATATAAATTGCTCCAATTGCTATAGCCGCAACCCAAAAATTAAAAAAAATGACCAGGAGAGTTATCGATGGTGTCGCTGGAATCAGAATTATATGTCCTGGGGACGTAGCAGCATTAATGGAAAATGTAATGATTTTGCTAGAGAATCTTCACTGGCTGGAATACCCACGTGCCATATTCAAACTAACATAACAAATGCTACAGGTATAGACAAGCATAATTTTCGGCACCAAGAGAATATATACAATGTGTATATGGAGAGATCATTTGCCTATCTAACGTTATGCATAAGCAATATCGCCAGATCTGTTGTCCCCGTAACTATGCCGGCTGCAATTCTTTCGAGTCTGAGCACCACTTTAGCAGCTGGATATCAGTATATGGCACAGCATTACAAGCAATATAGCCAATCTTTTAGCTTTTATGCGGCTTCCAGTGTTATATTGATGCTGTGCTATCTGACGACCCCATCCACGGCTGCTGCTACACAATCGGAAACGGTTGCCATCGATAAGCATCCGATGTAAGTAATTTTCGAAGAAGCCTAGGTAACCATTTATTTCTCATTCATTCAATTTATATTATTCGCCTATCATCTTACTCCAAAATCTATACATGTATGTCTTATAAAATTCTTTCATTCACAGCATCGATTGGTCAAAGTAAGTTTTTCATTTAGGCAATTAGCAACAGGCAAATGACGAAAACATCAAAATAAAAAGCAAAAAACAAAATAAAAACCATTATTTTTTAATTTTATTAATAATCGTTAATTTTTTATAACAGTATATTTTTTGTTATATTATATTTAATGGGGATCACTACATCAGCGACTATATTTATTTCGCTAAGCCTCTAACCATTTTATATAATATATATTTTTTTCGTTGAACCACTAACAATGTTACACAGTTAGAGGTTACATTAATATGTAACCCTAATGGGTGTGTAAAACTATTAACTTTAAGATCTAGGTCTGGTATCTCACGCTAAAATACATAATTACGTCATTCCATTCGCCACATACGCTTTTTATGAATGTAGACAATTCATTCAGCATCCTTATGCCATAATCCTTGAATACAAATAATTTTAATTTAATTTATTATTTGATACTAAAAGCATTTATTTCAATAATAATGTATGCATTTTATATACCCATAAATTTAACTAATACATATTTGTATGTATTAATCAATTTAATTACATTTTTAAGGTGTGCAAATATCCTAACAACACAATTGAAATAATGAATACTACTTAGTTAAAATTAATATTGTATTCTTTATATGCAGATTTGACGAGTCCAGTTCAGATAAAGAGATTTTAGATTTATTACTTGAGAAGAAACGATATGATAAACGATTACTGCCACCTGTGAATGGTAAGAGACTTTTAACATTTTTCAATTAAAAATCAAAATAAATATTCTATATGTATACGGTCGCTATCGCAGAGTGTTCTATTGTAGACTTCTCTATTTCCATTGTGAAAGTGAGAAAAATTAATTTAAGCAATGTGCAATGTAGACACGACGTACCCAGCAAATCAAAAGTCTGCCAAAAGGTAACTGTGCAATATACAAGGTGTCCAAAAGATCAGTGGTGCAAGAGAGATGGCTGATGCGTCGGTCCGGTCGAAGGTCGAGTTTATAGTCAACTATAGTCAATTCTTTGGTCTTTATGAACCAGAACCGAAAATCTTTGTTTTCTTTGAAAAGTTATAAAATTACTTTAAAAACATTATAAACAATTTACAATTTTATTCGCGAGGCTTTAACAATTTTAAATAAATTTTTAAAACCTTAAAATAGCTTTAAACAAACCCTTTTAAATTACTAATGGAAATATCGATAGTATGGATGGTTTCTTCCGTCGCTGCAATATCTATCGAGTGGTGCCACCATCGATGGATTCCCATTGTGATTGTGAGGTGCAGACTATATCGCAAAAGAAGAAACCAAGTGGTGAGCAATATTTCTTTAACGGGAAATAATTCTCTTAAGCCCAAATAGATTAGCGAATCTTCAACAGAGCTAAACGAGTTCGCCGATCATGCAAGGAGCTGGAAAGTCATTATAGCAGGAGATTATAGCACGAGAATACCTTCGAGAAATCTGGAACGAAGCGGCGGTACCATGAGGCCACTCTCACATATTGACGAACTCTTTTAAGTTTGTTTGTTTAAGGTTGAACGCCATCAGTGGTCGCTGGCCCTCTCCATAGCTATCTACAAATGCCCATCCTTCAGATATAAGCTGCTGATGTACCGTGCCTCTCGCAGCTGGTCCAGAATGTGATGCACTCGCTGCTCAGCTGCCGAAAATCCATACATAGCCACCACTTCCCATCCTTCTTGCGGACCATGATAATCGGCGCGCTATGTGCGCTCGATGCAACCTTTGGCTAACAGCTCATCCACCTGCAGCTGCCAGAAATCCCAGCCCAGCACCAGATCGTGGATCACTCCTGGCAGAATAAGACATCTGGATTTGCTGACTCCTCAGGCTAATCCTCATCTCCAGCTGCGCGTCCACCTGAGTGCAGCTGCCATCCGCCAAGCGCATGTACCGCCGAGTGGCATGCACCATGTCCATTCCTCGGAGTCTGATTTCCGTGTCGATCTTTGCTTTTTGCTGAGTGGCGCCAATGGCCACGATCGCCATCAAGAGGCTGGCAACAGGCAGCAGTTAGCACTCCAATGTGCGCGTACTGCCAGCAAAATTGCAGCGCCATATTGCGGCACGCAAAAGCGCTGGGTGGATTTGGGATGTGTGTCCTTGGTACTGTTGCACCTGTCCTTGGCGCAGGATAAGCCAAGCGGACGTCCGTCCGCCGTCTATGGCTATCATGACCAAGCCCCGCTTCGCGCTTGAACGGGCCCTATTCGGCTCTATAGCAGGGCTTTCCTGTCGTTTGAGCCCAAAAAAACTGCAAAGTGGAGTGACTGCTCGACTACGAGATCCCCTGAACCCTTCGAGCAACTGATATTTCAATAATTATTCGCACATGCACACATACAGACATACGCACGCACAAGCACGCATTGGCTCCAGTGTTGGCCTACTATGGGACATTTAATTTAATAATTGTTCTTGAAGGTGGACTATCAGTTGCTCGAAGGGTTCAGGAGATTTCGAAGTCGGGCAGTCTCGACTTGAGCCTTCTCACTTGTTTGTTAAAAGTATGCAACAGGCAGAAGGAGGCGTGGCAGATCCCACAAAGTATATATATTCTTGATCAGGGCGACGAGATTAGTCGATTTGGCCCTGTCCGTCTGTCTGTCCGTCCGTCCGTCTGTATGTATGTATGAACGCGTCGATCTCAGAAGATATAAGAGCTAGAGACTTCAAATTTTTTTTAAATGTCCGTAAGTACAGCGCGCATATCAAGTTTATCATTAAAAATCGATAACTCAYHYCGATCTTTTTTTATCGATAAAAAACCTTATCGAAAACCAGTTATAAAATTATATCTTCTACACCTTTATTGCTAGAGTCTCCAAATTTTTAATGTA